ATGAAATATTATTTTTATCATTTTCGGTTTAAAATATTTTTAAAAAGAATTCTTTTTTTTAGTGAATTTTGATATTTTATAAAATTATAACACAATCCGGAATAATTCATCAAAAATGATACAGCTCGAAATATTCCCGACAGTTTATATTTACTTTTTGATCAGCTAAAACGATTAAATTTAGAACAAAACAATTTCTCAAAATTTCAATCATCAAAACTGACTTGAATCTAAATATTGTCTGAAGAAGATTTTCCTTTTTATTTACAAAAACGACACAATTTAAAATGTGTCACTCTTGTGGATGATATTATAATCTCTTTGAAAATCTTAAGAGAACGACAAAAATGCTATTTGGAACGAACTATAAATTTAAGTTTGTTCATTTTAGACGATTGATAGAGTAATTTTTATACCAAGCTCATTTGTGCTAATAAATATAATATCACATTTTTTGAGTTGTGTCACTTTTGAAGTAAGAGAACGATATTATCTTGTTATGTTACACGTGTATTAGTGGTATAAAAGTAATCGCTAATACATAACATACAGTCATATGCGCGTAATGTGTACGCGTATAAGAAAGGCAAGAAATGATTTTGCGTGCCGTAGAGCTGCGCCGGAAATGATTTCCGTCATTAAGAGAAACTCGACCATCAAAGCGCTGGAGATCGTGCGAGCCGCGAGAGATATGCTAGGCGGAAATGGGATCTCGGACGAGTACCATGTGATTAGGCACATGATGAACCTGGAAACGGTCAACACTTACGAAGGTAACACTTACGCGAGGATCGTCCCAAGAAGATCGGCGATCATTTAGCACGTTGTAATGGGTAGCGTTATTCGAGACTATTTTCTTACTCTCTTTCTCTCGCTCGCTCGCTCGCTCTCTCTCTCTCTCTCTCTCTCTCTCTCTCTCTCTCTCTCTCTCTCTCTCTTTCTCTCTTCCACAGATACAAGCGATATTCACTCTTTGATTCTCGGGAAGGCGATCACTGGTATTGCTGCGTTCTCAGGATAAGCAACTCAAGTATCCGAATGATAAGACTGCCTTTGTACGCCACGAGCGTTTGACATGCTTGTGCCTCAATTTTTTTGTCTGTACGATCATTTTAAACTTTAAGTAGTGGGTATGTGGGTTGATCACAGCTCTTCAAAAAGACAAGTTTTCTTAACCTTCCAGAGATGACATTGTCAACAAAAAATAATTTTTTTATTGATTTTATTTAAAAAAGTCTTGCAAGTTATAATAATCGATTGAGATGTATATATATTTTTTTTATCGATATATATAGCCTTTCAGGCGATTAGAAGTACTATATATTTCAATATTCACATGCATTTCCACCTTTATTAAGCTTACAAGACCAAATTGAAAGTAAAATCAAATTGGAAATATTTAATACCTTCTTTGTACTTATTTGTGCATCTCCATCTTTAATTTTTAAGTGTAACTGCACAAATTTCGAGTTTATTCCGAATTTAATTTTAAAATAAATATTACAAATGTGCAACAAAAGAATTAAAAATCTTAGAGGGTTACAAATTTTATTTGTAAAAAAATAAGAAATAAAAAACCCAAATACCCACAAATTTTAAAATTCATTATTTTTACATTCCTCTATCTTGCACAAAGATATAACAAATGTAAATTTAACTGTAACATAATATACTAGTAAAAAATATAATTATAAAAATAAAATTTTTTGAAGTGTGTTCTGAGCGTCCCATCTACCAACTTAGTTAAAAAAAATAATCTTCCTACTTATAAAGATTAATTATTTTTTTTAAATGTGTACAAAATTTCTTTTGTACGTTTTGAATATTTTGTAACTTATTATTGATTTATACTGATATATCGAATAACCAAATTTGTATTTCTTGTACGAAAGGTTGAGGTCCTAATAAATTATGTTGCACACGATGTATTAAAAAAAAAAAGACGATGATAGTATCTCTCCCTTCCTCTGGTGTCCTCTTCGCACAACTCCACAATTTTCCGCCTCTGCATCCAGATCGTCGCGCGTTTCCGCCGCGAATAAGGCTTTAATCACTCGATACACTTTATTGCTCGTTTATTCTCTACTTTACGTTTTAACAATTTCATGGTGTGTGCTCTTTCATTATGCGCCGTTTATTCCGCTCGTTCATTCGCCCATGATTTCTGTGCACGCGTGGCTCTCGGCGGAAAACGGTCGCGCTGCGAGAAGCGCGAATCGACTTCTGTTCTTCTTCGAGGTTGATTTCCAAATGTTTGTGATTCGCGCGATTCTGGATAGTCCTGGATCTCTCTTGCGGCCAAGATCAATTTTCATGAAATCGCATTTCGAACTAAACGCGCTTAATCTTTAGAATTGAAATTTCTGTATATTAAAGCTTCTCTCTCAAAAATGCGAATGTGTCATGAAACCCGTATCAGACTGTGCACTGTCAAAAAATTTCATCATGTAAAATTATGACAATTATGGTGAATAATTTTAATAGTAGAGATGGTTACTGTTTACAAACGAAATTATCATTTTTATAGTAATTAAACAATTTGCAAAAGTAAATTTAGATTGAAGTTTAGAAATATTTACGTAATATAATTCAACGAATTACGTACAATTTTTCTTAAAGTTCCTGACTACTCACCATGATTCTCTTCAGACTGCTGACGTCAGAAGCGAGAAAATACATAATAGAAATACTTCGGAAATATATTAAAATAGAAATATTTTTCAATATAAAATAATATTTGCATTTGATACAGTATACTTGTAAAATATACCGAAAATTTTCCTTTTATTTCGGAATAGAGTGAAATTGTATCTATTTTAATTCAATAGCTGTTATATAGCTTGTTCGTTTTCTAGTTAAAATAATTCAATTTCAAATATATGATTATTTATCGATTATATCGGATCACAAAGAGAGTTTTCGGTATATAAAATTTCGTAAATATTGTTTTATTAAAAAAATATATTTTAATATTGTTTAAAAGAATTTTTTTTAAGTATTGTTTTCGCTTCTGACATTACAATTCAAGATGGCAGCAGTGAATAGGCAGGAACTTTAAACTATTGATATGTATGATTTACATTTGATTGTAAAAACGCAAATATAATATGTGTGATATTATCATGTTATGTCTGTAATATTACAACAATTTGTATATTTACATAAAAACTATAAAGTATGCTATTGTTATTGTGTGTAATTTTCCATTTATCATAAAGATACACAATTAGAGTTAAAAGTACTAATTTTGTAAAAACACAATTTTATATATTTTTACTACAAATTGTGCAATTTTTACACATATTATTTATAAAACAATATTAAGATTAGAAGCGGACTTTCGGATTTACAATACAATCAAACTGAAATAATATTTCCTCAAATTAAATTAGATCTTCAATTTGACGCTACTAACATCATAAAACCTGTAAAGAACTTGTAATTGAAAAATATTACTTCAATCGGGATTCTCGAGCCCGGATCCCATTCGAGCGTGCTTCCAATTCGATCTCCAAGGCATGTATTATTTATATAACTATAAATACTTCTTTTACAGTTTGCGCACACTGAAAACAAATTTACCGAATTTTAATAAATTTGTGTGAATAGTACTGACTAAATACTTATTAAATGTAAATATATACTTATTTTTTAAAAGAATCATTAAGTATCTTTTTTATTAAGTAAATATTTATTTACTGTAAGTAACTGCTTAGTATTATTCAAACAAATATTTATTAAAATTTAGTCATTTTTTTGGTGCACTGAAGATTGAACATTGAATGGAAGATTAGAATTCAATATAATTCAATCAGATAATTTATTTTTAATCCATTTTGTTCTGATAGGTTGAAGTCTAATCTCCAACTTGCAATTCTGCAATGTAGAAATATTCTAATATGGGCGTGGAACGCGTAACAGCATACTTGTCGTTGGATACCATTAAGTACCACGATTGAGATCGCGAGATCATGAAAATTGGCGCCGCTGCCTCCAAACGATCGCAGAGAATCGAGAGAACGTCGTTAATTAGACATCTTCGAAGGCGCGTCCGTCACCGACGAAGCTTCCGGCACATCCAGAGAATGCGGTCAGCCTTTCGTTCAGTGGTCCAAATTATAAACAAAAAAAACGATAGGATCGATGTATTTACAGATCGATCGTGCTCTTTTCATCCTCATCTTCATGATCTTAAATTAATCAGCCGATAATGTACAATGCCGACATTCCTCATTCGCACTTTCTCTCTCTCTCTCTCTCTCTCTCTCTCTCTCGCTAATTCTCTCTTTCTCTCTCTCTTTCTCTCTCCTATTCGATCTAACAACTAGGTCTCCGTATAAATATAAATACCTGTGATAATGGCGCTATTCGCCTATGATATAGTATATACACTTTTAATTTTAATATCTATGTACCTGACTATTGGACGAGACCCCTCTCTGCTGATTTTAATTATTTATTTATTTACCTTATATACTATTGTATTTTTTTACTTTTTCATAGCTACGCTATTTTAATCTTTACTTCTTTTTACTCTATTCTTTTCCATCTTCTTTCTATTTCCTTTTCTTCTATTTTCTAAGTACTATTGTACTCCTCTTTCAATCTTTTACCTTTATACCTTTCTATATTTTATACTACCTGTTTGTGGGGCCCTGACCGTTCGAGTGTGTATGCCGCGTTCGCAATTTTTGTATTTTAGTCGAGTGTGAATGTGCGCGATTTATACTTAATTAATTTTATTACTATTATTATTTATATGGCTGCGCGCGCTCCTCCGGGACTTTTATTTTTTGACGACACCTTTGTGATATCCCGGAGGAGCATCAATCTGTGATAACGAATCCCCCCAGCTTGCGTGCTGGGGGGATGAAAAATAATGTGATACAATTACGTAGACTGGGGATCTCGATCCCCAGTCTTT